AGACCGCCTCAGAGAAGTTTCTTCCACTTGGATGGTAGCTAACACAGAAGCTCCCAATTGATCAAGGTGCAGGGCATAAGCATCTACGGGGTGCAGCCACAGAGAACATTTCTACCACATCCCTCCTGTGCAGGCCTCGGGGACCATTTCAGAAGAGGGGCGGTCAGTCTTTTCAGTTCTCCTCAGAGTTTCTTCTTCTTGAAGTAAATGGGGGTAAGAAGCACATGTTCCCTTCTTGCCCTTGGTCCTGAGGGCATGAACATGGAGGGGGAGGGGCACTGAGGACCCCAGTCTTCCCTTTCTGTTCCACACTGGTCTTATGTTCTCTGTGGGAAGGATTTATCCCCTGCACCTACATCACAGGGACAAGATCCTGGGGAATCCATCATCCTCCTTGGGTGCAGGTGACCTGACCTTCTCAGGGTCAAGGGAAAACAGCACCCAGTTGCTGTGAGGATCTTGCCCACTCTTTCCCCTGGGCCTTTAGACAGATAGGCATGAGTAATACTGAAGATTGCTTACAGTTATTTCCTTTTTATTTTTTTAAATCTTTCCTGGTGCCTTTTCAGGTTCCTAAGAGCCAAATACCCAGGTGTGGACAGGAGGGTCTGTAATGAGCCCAGCATCCCTTCCCAGCAGGTTCCCTTATTTCAGAGAAACTGCAATGAACCAAACTGGCCAGAGGGTGGAGCTCTCCATTAACTGGGAAATAATGAGGTTACATACTGAGCTAATAGCCTAATTAAAAAACAGCCAACAGTGTATGCTGTTGTTGGTAGTGTATTTTATTCTTTGCTCTCTTTTTTCTTTTGGTTCTTTAGGGGGGTCCTCCACCCAAATAAATCACACATGGAATTTTAATTCTTATATTTATAAAAGCCCGGCCTCAGCTTGGCTAGTTTCTAGCCAGCTTTTCTTAACCTAAATTATCCCGTCTATTTTTGCCTCTGGGCTTTTTCATTGTCTTACTTCTGTATATCTTACTTTCACTCTTACTCCATGTCTGTCTATGCAGCTGAGTGACTGGCCCTTTCTTTACTTGCTCCTTAATCCTTTCCTCCCTAATTTCTTTTCCTATTTATTCTCTCCGCCTGCCAGCCCCGCCTATCCTTTCTCCTGCCTTGCAACTGGCCGTTCAGCTCTTTATTAGACCAATCAGGTGTTTTAGGCAGGCAAAGTAACACAGCTTCACAGAGTTAAACAAGTGCAGCATAAAAGAATGCAACACATCTTTGCATCATTAAAACAAATGTTCCACAGCATAAACAAGTGGAACACACCTTAAAATAATATTCTACAACAGTATGCTGAACATTTTAGACAAATGACATGCCCTCAAGTATCAGTAGTCGCTTCAGTGGTTAGTGAACGTCCAGTCGAAGGTTATACCTATCTTTGTCTCTTTTGGGGGTATACAGCCCACCATGGCCATGCCATCTGGTTAACCCTTGGCTGCCTGGGGCCTCCCTGAGTGAGTGTGCCAGCCACATATACTCAGGAGGATGAATCTCAGAAGAGGCACAGGTAGAAGTTGACTTGTGGCATTTCTGGAAAAAAATCCAGAGTACAGGACACCTAGGGCATGGTTGAGTCGGGGCGGGGTACAGGCTCATCCAGCCAGAGGAGTTACAAATGCACTTCCTGCAGCCTGGGGCCTAGCCCCAAGGGTAGTCCTAGATATAAGAGAACCTGCATGTTTATATACTAGTAGTTTCAAATAAATGGAGGGAGGCACACAGCCATTTGGCTGCATCTTCCAAAATTAAGCCTTATAGTTCTACTTTTAGAAGTCCATCATCTGATTTACTTGTAGAACTGCCCAGTGCTGGGTATATAATTATGTTCGCTACAACATAGTATTATCAAAAAAATATAAATAGCTACCAAATGGCGAATGGGTAATTAGCTAAATTATAGTACACTCATGCAGTGAAATATATCTTTGCAGTCATTACCCAGGCTGATGGGAAAGATCTGTAATGGGCACTTTTAAATAAGACAAGAAAATGGAAGATCTGATATGTCCAACTGCATGCCTATGTAGCCACATGCATCTGTATACATATGTCCAGAAACATTTGCTAGGAAATTTCTAGAAGTAATCACAAGGAAACTTTGTGTTATTTATTCTGGTTGGTAAAGGGAGACACTGAGGGGCAGTTTTTTATCTTATGCTTCTTCTGGGATTTGTCATCAAGGCATTTAGCATTTTTATAATTAAAATAACAAAAAAGTACTCTGATAACATCAAGTACATCCAATAACAACTGTGACTCAGGCTGGAGAGATGGCTCAGTGGTTAAGAGCACTGGCTGTTCTTCCACAGGAACCAAGTTCGATTCCCAGAAACAACATCAAGGCAGCTCTCAACCAAGTATCACTCCAGCTCTAGGGGCTCCAACACATGTGACTTCTGTGAGAGCCTTCACTCATGTGTGCATGCCTGTGCACACACATACCAGTGCATGCTCATGCACACACACATAGACACTGACATACACACACACACACACACACACACACACACACACACACTCACACACATTAAAGAAATGAAGGGGGCTGGAGAAGCTGGAATTTTAGTTAGGAGTACTTACTGCTCCTCAGAGGACTGGCACCCACATGGTGGCTCACAAATGTCTGTAACTCCAGTTCCAGGGGACCAAACGTTCTTTTTAGGGCTACCAGGCACTCATATGGTATATAGGTATACATGTAAGTGAAACAGCCATGCACATAAAATAAATTTAATTTTTTTACTTAAAAAATAAACTGCGCACAATGGTACTAATGCATACCTTTAATCCCAGAACTTGGGAGGCAAAGGCAGGAGGATCTCTGTGAGTTCACGGACAGCCTGGCCTATATAGTGAGTTCCAGGACAGCCAGGACTATGCAGAGAGACCCTGTCTCAAAAACAAAAAACAAAAACAGACCAAACATTTTTTGTTTCATCTAAAAATAAATAAAAGGAACTCAGGATTAACATATGGTATGCCCTGAAGTACATTTTCATCATGACGAGTTTGAGGAGGTTACCAACTGGACAGTGGAGCATCAGCCATCCAGACTGCTGGACTCCCACAGCACTGGCCCAGGCCTGCAGTCTTTGGCAGGTAGCAGTCATCCGAGTCTTGTGGGTGTAGTCTTGTGGGATCAGATGATTTCTCTCTTCCTGGGGAAACAACTCAAAGGTCAGGGTTACCCAACCATGAGTAAATATCAACATCCCCAATTCTGAGAGCATCTAGAGATGACCTGTATCCTAGTTTAAAGTCTACCACAGCTGCTTCTTGACTGTTTGTCTGGCAGCTCCCAGACCTCAGGGACTAGACTGGATTCATTTTGGTATCCCTGGTACTTGACACAGCTCTTTGCACATAGGTGACACTGTACAAACGTTTGTTGACATGACATGAGAGTCTCGCTCCCCTGTCCCATCTCTGGATGGCTTTACTCTTTTGAATTTCGAACATTCAACTTTCTGAAGGTTCAGCCTCTTGCAGAATCTGCACTCTGCATCCTGGAAAACTGCCCAGAAATAGGATTCTCTTCATTGTCTCTCTGTCTATCTATCTATCTATCTATCTATCTATCTATCTATCTATCTATCTACCTACCTACCTACCTACCTATCTAATTTATTTATTTATTTATTATTTATTTATTTTTGAGACAGGGTTTCTTTGTAACCCTGACTATCTTGGAGCTCACTTTGTAGACCAGGCTGGCCTTGGACTCAGAAATCTTCCTGTCTCTGCCTCCAAAGAGCTGGGAATTAAGGTGTGAGCCACCTCTGCCTGGCTATGTTGCCTCATTTAAAGTAGGATTCTGTTGGGGAAGTCCTGTTATTTGCCTGTGCATTTGTCAATAAAGTACTGTCTGGCCAATAGGGAATCTAGATAGGAGGGACTAGGAGTCCAGGAGGACTCTGGGTAGGAGAAACACAAGAGAGTCGAGATGTAACGCCATTGGGGTAGGAGCCTGGAACTATTCTCCGGTAAGAAACATACTTAGATTAACAATTATGGGGTAATTACTTAAGTCAGAGCTAGCTAGTAAGAAACAAGCAAGGCCAAGAGCTTCATAATTAATATAGCCTCCTGTGTGTTTATTTGGGACTGATGCCGATCTAGAACCAGGCAGGCAGGAAGGCTCCTCACAAGGAAAAGCTTCTCTTAACAGGATTCTATTCTAGGAAATTTGGAAAAATGAAGATTGCTGATGAAACTAAGTGTTGTGGTTTGATTATGAGCTGTCCCTCACAGGCTCGTGTTTTGAACACTTGGTCTCCATTTTAGGAGGTTGTGGGAACTTTGGAAGGTGGATCTAGCTGAAGGGGTAAGTCACTGGGGATGTGCCTTTGAAAGTTATAACAGGTCACCAGTCCGCTCTTCTCTCTGCTTCCTGTTGATCATGTCTTGAGCTGCTCTTTTAACTCCTTCCTTGCCATGATGGATTGAAGCCTCTGAAACTGTGAACCAAAAATAAACCTTTTCTCAATTCAGTTTTAAATTCTGTGTTTTGCCTTAGTGATGTAAAAGCAACTCATTGAAAATTGGTATCAGGGGGCTGGAGAGATGGCTCAGAGGTTAACAGCACTGACTGCTCTTCCAAAGATCCTGAGTTGAAATCCCAGCGACCACATGGTGGCTCACAATCAACTATAATGAGACCTGGTGCCCTCTTCGGGCCTGCAGACATACATGCAGGCAAAATACTGTATGTTAAATAAATAAATAAATCTTTAAAAAAAAAGAAAATTGGTATCAGGAGTGGGGATGTGGCTGCGACCAAACCTGACCTTGTGGTTCTGAGAGCTTTGGAACTGCTATGCCAGAAGAAAATGAGATGCGGGTTAGTGAAAGTCTAGAATGTCCTAAGCAGAGCTTACTGGGTAATTCTGGTGGGAGCTTGAAAAACCAGGGTGACAATTACAGTGTGAACAATAGGGGCTGGAGAGATGGATCATTAGTTAAGAGCACTGTTGGCTTTTCCAGAGGATCCAGGCTCAGTTCCCAGCACCCACTTGGACAGCTCAAGGATACTAGAGATGTCAAGACCATGGACTGCCACAGACAATGAGTGATGCTCACCCAAGGAGTCTGTGTGCATTGCAAATGGTAAGGCCTTAGGGGCAGAGTTGACCTGGATGCTGAATGTGGAGGTAAGAGGATTCTTGCTCTTCCTGCTGGGTTTTGGTCTTCCTTTGACCCAATCTTTCCTTGCTATTCTCCCTTTTGAATAGGAATGTATACTTTGTCTCATTGTATATTGGAAGCACATAGCTTGATTTTAGTTTTTATAGAGCCTCATGCCTTGGGATTTGCCTTGAATCTTAAAGAATTAAACTTGAGCTCTGAGAAGTGCTCTAGCTGTTAAGACTATAGGGACTCCCCAGATGTGGTGGTGCACACCTTTAATCCCAGAACTTGGAAGACAGATGTTGTCAGGTTTTTTCTTTTCCCAAGTAAATACACTGAGACTTATTTTTACTTATGAGTGCCCAGTCTTAGCTTAGCTTATTTCTAGCCAGCTTTTCTTAACTTAGATTATCCTGTCTACCTTTAGCCTCTGGGCTTTTATGTTTCTCTATATACTTTTCTTCTTACTCTGTGGCTGGTTGTGTGGTGGGGCAGCTGGCCCCTGCCATCCTCCTCTCCTCCTTTTCTCACTCCTCCGGGAAGAGGGGTGTCCTTCTGCTTAACCCCCACTAATGAGCCTTGCTACACATAGTTCTTTCCCACCACTTCCTGTCAGCTAGTTGCTGACTCAACCTCCTGACCCCAGGTTAATATTATTTAATCAAACAAATCTAGCATTGTTAACAAAGGCAGCAGGAAAAAAAAACGCAACACACCTTTACACAGTTAAAATAATATTCCACAACAGACAGAAGCAGGTGGATCTCTGTGAGTTCAAGGCCAGCCTGGTTTATATTCCATGGCAGCCAAGGCTACTCAGAGAAACCCTGTCTCAAAAAACAAAAACAAAACAAAAGGCTATGGAGACTCAGGTTGGACTGAATACATTTTATATCATGAGATGGACATGAGTGAAAAGCTGTGGTTTAGGTATTAGATGTCTCCCACAGGCCCATGTGTTGAACCCCTGTTCCCCACTATTTTGGGGGATGTCAGACAGGAACTGGAAGATTGGGAAGGTTCTGCTGATGGTCATACTGGGTCCTGTGTTTCTCACTTCTCTTCCTACCATCCATATGACACGCACTACTCCGCTCTTCTCTTCTGGCCATGATGGATGCACAGAGCAGCCTCCAGCTGTGACCCACAATTAGCCTTTCTTCCCTTAAGTTGCTCTGCTAGGTATTCTGTCACACTGGTACAAAGCTAACACTGTAAGATGTTCTAAAAATTAATTCTCCTTGTTTTACTGCTCTAGTGGAAGCCTCATGCCCCCTTGGCATCCCTTTCTGGTGGGAGATGTCCTTCTGTATATATGTTTCTCTTATTGGTTGGTAAATAAAACACTGTCTGGCCAATGAGGCAGGAAGAGAGGCGGGACTAGGACAAGGAGAATATTGGGAAAGGTAGGCAGAGAGAGCCCTCCAAAGACAGAAGGTCCTGACATTCTCCGGTAAGACAAGACCACGTGGAAATACATGGATTAATAGAAATGGGTTAATAACTAAGACAGAGCAAGCCAGTATGAAGCCCTAGTCACCGGCCAACAGTTTCATAATTAATATAGCGTCTGTGTGTTTATTTGGAGCTGAAGCAGCGGGACCTTGCAAGAACACTCTCAGCAACACTTCTCCTGTAATGTCTTGTGCCCTTAGAGGGAAGTCTTCCTCACTCTTTTTGGGGTGTGGAGAAGTAGTGGGGCAAGACAGGGTCTGTCTGTGTAGTTCTAGCTGGCCTGGAACTCCGAGATCCACCAGCCTCTGCTGGGATTAAGGCGTGTACCACCATGCCCAGCTCCTCCTTACTCTTGACAGCCCCCAGGCTCTTCTCTCTTCAGTGTGAGCCAGGCAGTACTTCACTGAGTCCCTGGCCCCGGTCATTCCCAATCTAATAGGAGCAGCAAGTGATTGGTGGAGTCATAGTTATCAGTTTTAACTTGCAGACTGTGTCCAACAGCCCTTGAGATGCCTTGGTGTCCCCTTCTTCTCAGTATCTGATCCCCCAGGTAAATGGCTACATGCCCAAGCTTGGAAGGAAGGTGGGGAAAGGCATGGGCAGGGGTGATCATTGCACTCTTGCCACAACACCACCAGGTTCTTTTTCCTGTAGCTAACTCATAGTCAGTGTGGCCCAATTATGGAGAGTGGCCCAGGCTAAAACATCAAGTGAGGGATGGTGGCTTTAATTTGGGGTGCTCCACCCCCTGCTGTCCCATTCATGCCTGTTTGACCATAGAAGTAAACAGTGAGTGTCTTTGTTGAGAGTCTTCTCTTCATTACTTCTCTTGTTGCTGTGTAATGACAAAATACTTGACAAAAAAGAACTTAAAGGAAGAAGGGTTTGTTTTGACTCAGCTTAAGAGGGTTCAGTCCCTCTTGAGGACAAAGCAGAGCTCCGGAAGCAGAAACATGAAGCAGGGACTCTTCACTTCTGAGAAAGCCGGGAAGCAGAGAGCAGAGGACTTGATGGGGGATGTCCTTCTGAATGCTGTGAATATGTTTCTCTTACTGGTTGATGAATAAAGCTGTTTTGACCAATGGACAGGCAGGATGTAGTCAGGCAGGAAGTATAGGCAGGGCTACCAGACTAGGAGAATGCTGGGAAGAGGAGTGCAGAGAGTGAGCCTCAAGAAGATGCCATGTAGCTGCCGAGAAAGCAAGAAGCCATCACCAGTAAGCCAAGATCATGTGGAAACACACAGATTAATAGAAATGGGTTAATAATTGAGAGAGCTAGCCAATAAGAAGCCCAAGCTATAAGTCAAACAGTTTATAATTAATACAAGCCTTTGTGTACTTGTTTGGGACTAAATGGCTGCGGGACCAGGCAGGACAGAAACTTCCATCCACAAGGACTGACATTCTTTCCTGCTTTTTATTCCATCTGGGGCTGAAACCAGATGGAGCTGCACCTACTCAGGGTGTGTCTTCCCTCCTTGGGTAAAGCTGTTTGAAAATACCCCCCACACACACACACACAGACATGCTCACACATACATTCTCTCTCTCTCTCTCTCTCTCTCTCTCACTACCACACATACACACACACACAGAGGTGTGTCTCCCAGGTGACTCCTAAGCCAGTCAAGGTAACTCTGAAGCAGTAACCATTACAGTGGATTTGCCCACTTACCGTGTGCCTGGGAGCTCAGAGCTCTGTTTGTCATCTCCACAATGCCTGTGGTCAAGCCTTCTTGGCTGAACTCTGATCTTGCTAGCCATTACAGTAATAGTGACTTCCTATCAACTGGTAAGTAAGTGCCAGACACCCCCTGGCTTCAGTTACTGGTGCAGGGAGAAGGCCATCATCACCATGGATATTGTCACAGTAAAATTTACAACAGTTAAAGACCTTAATTGTGTTTATTTTCAATTCTGGAATTGGGCAATACTGACTCTCATAAAAGAATAAGACCTCTGAAAGGCTGGGCTAAAACAGGCTTCACAGATAGAGTTGGGCTTTAAAAAACTCAAACAAAAAGCAAAAATCAGACTGGGCATATCTAAGTTGCTTTTCAGAGGGACAGAGATATGGAACAATAAAATGCCCAGTTGATCATCACCAGTTGCATGCATGTTGACAGAGGTCAAACTCTGGGCCTGGCACGTGCTCCACAGCCCTCTGTACCCCAGCTTAGGCCACGCTGTTTCTGAAGGGGTCTGGGCTAAGGGAACTTCATTGTGACTCCCCTTGAAAGTGACCTGTTCTGAACCCTTGGCTGTTATCTCTAACCCTGCTTTCCTAGAAGGCCAGATAAACATCTTGGGGATGTAGAACTCTGGTGTGTGACCCGTTTTCATTCTTGTCCCGCTGGGCATGAGCTCAATTCAAATAAATGGCTTTCCATATTTACCAATAGTAATAAACCCCACTCTGTGACCATTTCTCCTACTTACAAATATGCCTGCCACTCTCTCCCAAACATTCCTGATGGCCTTCGATAATCACGTGTCCTCTGGGCCCACCTCTCACACATACTTCCTGGTTTCTTCTAGTCCCAAGTTGAGTATCTACTCCAGCGTGCCCAATTTCTCAACCTTTTTATGTCTTGTCTAACATCTGCCAGGATAGTTTGGGCATTCCCATTTCAGGATTAGGCACTGGATGCCACTTTTGGTAACTAGAAATTTCAGGAGGCCCTGTTTCTGACTAAGCTTCTACACAAATCTGTACATCAAAACAGAGTGGCAAACCTGAGACTAAGTCATGCATCTGATCTTCCACGCAACCAAGATTACGGACATAACAGCCAGTTTCAGTCACGTGACAGTGATTGTTCCGTCCAATTCCTTATGCAAAAGAGGTAACTTGAAATAACCTGACCAGTTTCCTGTTTGCCTCTGTCCTTGTTTCTTACAATGAAAGTGACTTTGAAGTGACTACCTGCCTTTGGGGGTTTGATTCTGTTTTGTTTCTTTTCAGCCCTTCTCTCTCTTAAACCAACCTCTTGGAATGAGAGCCTGCAAGATGGCTCAGTGAGTAAAGGTACTTGAGCTATCTGAGTTCGAACCCTGAAACCCACATAAAGATGGAAGGAGAGAACCAACTCCAAAAAGGTGTCCTCTAACTTCCAAAAGTGTTCTGTGGCACACACACTTACATGTCACACAATCTTTTTAAATGCTGGCACGTACACACACATAATCTTTTTAAATTAAGACAAATCGTTTCTTCTGATCAGCATCGCTTACTCTCTTTTATGGTCAAAGGTGCCATCTAATTCTAGGATTGACAAATAAAAGTCAGTTAAGAACTCTAAAGCCAGGGTGGAGATGGCTCAGCTGTTAAGAGCACTTGTTGTCCTTTCCCAGGACCCCAGTTGGGTTCTCAACCTCACATTGTGGCTCCTAGCAATCCATAACTCCAATTCTAGGTGATTCAATGCCTTCTAACTTCCATGGGCACCGGACACACATGTGGTACCCATGCAAACACTCATAAGATATCTAAAAAAATAGTTTTTACTGGAGCAATTGTTGACATACATTTAGCTCAGTCATTTTTTTATTAAAAATAGTTTTTTATACAAAAATTATTTCTAAACTCAGTAGCTACAATTTTGGCCCTTGACACTGTCTCCAGGCTTCTAAATCCCGCTACAGAGCTGGCTTCACTCTCTTGAGGTCTCTGACAGGGTGTTAGAGCCAGCATCCTGAGGGAGCCCCTCTGAGTCAAGTCTTCGCTATCCAGGCCTCCCACGCAGCCTCCTGGGTCTGAGCAAGCAGCTGGGTTTGCTGAAGAAGCTCCAGGCTGCTTGGGAAGGCAAGGCCTTGTATTTTCATTACCACATGGTCTCCCTTTTAGCCTCACTCTTACTTTCCTGGAACTTTACCCATCACCCCAGATTTAACAAGCAAGCTTTGTCTCAGGCTGTTGCCTGGGAGCCCGGGGCCTGGCTGAGATCCCAATGACAGAGCTGTGTTCCTGACTCTTGTACTGGTGTATGCTAGAGATTAAAACAGAAAGCCAACTCCCATGGAAAGATATATAGTAAGAGGTTATGAAAGATAGCATGAACGCTAAATAGACATTTAGTGGGTTCCAAACCGAACACACTCCACCTCCCAGAACGACACAAGTTTTCGTTGGAAACAGCTTGGGGTCAGGGCTAGGAAGCATCTCCCGGCAGCAGAGGAGAATTAAGGAGACACACCATGCTTATTTGATTCAAAACCTGTGATCCACTTTTGCTTTTCTCACAGTCCATAGAGTCCCAGATTCTGCCAGGAGTGGAGGGCAGGGCAGCTGATAAACCGGTTCTGAACACTGAAGGGCTTTAGAATTCAGAAGAACTGTATTGAAGGAAAGAAGAAGAAACCCCAGGCAAAATGTACTGACTGCCACATCCAGGCTTCCTAAAAGTCCAAAATCAATGGCTTTCTTTGCACACAAATTCAGTTCCACACCCTTCTAAAAATGGTTTGCCACTAAAGAAGGAGGGGCCTTGTCATGGTGTAACTAAATGTAATGGGCTCACAATAAACACAACCAAGAAACAGAGTGAAGAAATGTTTATTACTGGGGCGAGTAATGAACACACTAGAAACACCTCTACGAGCAGCAGGATCAAAGGGCTTTTATTGAGGGAACACATTGCACCTTTAGAAAAGTCTGGTCACCATGTGTAAAGGTAGACATATCAAGAGTAGAGTTTGTCTTGTCAAGACACTACAGCTGGAGCTGTGGGCTCTTTCCTTGAGACCCAGAACTCATTTCTAACAAAGAAATTACCACACTTAAAAGAAAACTTTCGAGTGCTCTCATACTTACCAGGCTGGGTGGCAAGTGTCTTTACTGCAGAGCCACCTTGCCTGCCCTGGTTGCCACACTTCAAATGACTGTTGGGTAGCATGTCCAACCTCTAAAGTTTTATCAACAGCAGCACTGTTAGAGTCTGAATTCTTGGGGGCTAGAGGGATGTCTCTGCGGTTAAGAGCATGGATTGCTCTTGCAGGGAACCCGGGTTCGATTTCTAGCACATAGCATGTCACAACTGTCTGTAACTCCAGTTCCAGGGGATATGACACCCATGGCAAAGCATCAATGCACAGTAAAAGAAAAGAAAGAAAAAGAAAGCAAGTCTCTTCTGAGATCCAAGGTAATCTAATTGTGAGCTTCTACAAAATTGAAAACACAAGCCAGGCAAGATATATGTGCAGGCACAATAGTGGCAAGTCTATCATGGGTGGAGCCAGGCAGGGCCCTAAGACTGCCAGAAACGGGGGTCTCAAATCCTCAGAAGGACAGACTCACGCTTTCTGGCAGGTAGGACATTTTCTATCTAAGGAGTTTCTGGACAGGTTGAGGCTGACCCTTTGAGATCCACGGGACTGCAGGAAGAGAAGTTGAAAAAAAAGCTTACATTGGTATTGGAACTCAAGTAGCCCAAAGGCCTGTGTCCCTGGAAACAGACTGGAACAAGAGCACATGAGCCCTGTTCTTTCCAATTAGGAGTGACTCAAACAAACATAAAAGAGGCTTTGTATTTTGCTGAAGTAAAATTATGCTAATGACTCTATGCTGATGACTTTAATGCCTTGTTCCTGCGCCACCTGTAAGTGCCTGCGCATAACTACCAGGCCAAGGTCACCCAATATGGCCAAGAAGAATGAAACCAGGCTTGAGTTGAAGGGGCCATAGCAAGACTGAGGCTGTGACAACTTTATTGAGAGCAATCAGACTTTTATACCTTTATCAGAAACAGAATACAATGGCAATTGCCAGGATCAATACAGTTGTAGCTGCCAGGATACAACGAAGTTTTCAAGCTATGCAGAGTACACAAGATTAATGTCTAAGAACAATAGTCCTGTCAAGTTTCCATGTTTCCTTGACTACTAAAGGACCAGACAGAGAAACACCAAGTGGCCTGAATGCCTCACTGCCTTGAGGGAGAGCAGCAGTCTCCCAGGAACTGGAAGGCACAGTGCCCCCAGGAGCCACGGACTCTGACCTGCCTCCAAGGCAGCTGGGTCACGCCAACTCCATGTCTCCCTGCAATCCCCCCTCTTTAAATTTCTTAATTTTAGGGTATGTAAGTCAATCTTTTTAAGCAGACATGGAATAGCAAACCAATCTCAAGGCTGCATAACAAGTATAACCATCAAAAAACTTTCTAATGACATTCCTATGGGCCATAGTTTAGAAGTCCAATTAGAGACAGAAAAATAGTGACCAAAAAAATCTTTGTCAGGTTTTGTGCAGTCATAGAAAATGGCAATTTATATAACTCTTAATGATGAATGGTTAATATTTAATTATGCAAGAGCTGAAAATCAATACTCAAGCTGCCTTGTAGCCATCTCTGCCTGGAGAACAATATGATTAGCAGTGGGGCACCCAAGATCTCAGGGTCATTGACATAAACAGGAATGGTATTCAATTCCCAGTTAACAAAGTGAAGGGCAGGTTGGTCAGGTACATAAGCCCAGGATGTCTCAGCAGTAACAGATGCACTCAACAGAGACAGCATAACAAGAACAGTCACACTTCCCCTGAGATTTCTCCCAGTCTTTTCCCTAAGTCACTAGTTTCTTCATCTGAGTCATTGTTGGTAGGCAGACTCTGTTCTTCAAAGTTAGACAATTCTGCTGCCCTGTTCTCTTCCTTTTCTTCAGGTCTAGCCTCTGCTGATGCTTTGGAAGCTCTCGTCCATCTTCCACAAGCTGAGTCAGTCATTCAGGTATCCATGATGGCTTCTCAGTGCCCTGAGGGAAAACACAGACAGAGCCTCAGCTCAGGTGAATTATAGGATCTGGGCCGTTCCATTGACCTGACACAGCATCTCTCCAAAGGGTCATGACCTTGAATTTTTTTCAGAGGGCCCCAAAAACATTCTGCAACAGTGAAGCCATTCTTGCCCAAATTGTAAAAATTCACAGTATATATAAAAGAAGATTAAATATTGTGAGGATCACACTACCTCACAGAAGATTGACTGAAGGTTGTATGGAATGCCTGTGATATGGATTATATCAAACTGTTGGCACAATTCCTGAAAAGGCTTAGCAATGTATGTAGGAGCATTTTTTTCTTTTTACTATTTTATGGGGGCATAAAACACTAAAAGCCAGGGCTAAGTTATGGGTACATTATTTTGTTCATTTCTAATAGCTTGGTCCTGACAGCTCTCTGAAGAATCAGTCTTCACAGCAGTTAGACAAACCTTTGTGAAGATGCTCCAGTCAGAGGGAAGAAAAGCTTCTCCAGAGACAGAAGCAAGGAGAGACAGTAGGAAAGGAGCAGCTGGTCCACACCGAGCACAAGCCTGCTTAGGAATCTTAAGTTGTCAATGAAACGCCTCTGTAATTTCTAACTCTTTGTCCCGGGTTATTAGGATCAGGAGTTTCACTCACTGGGAAAAGAGAAAATCCCCTCTTGTCTTCTTTCCCATCTCCTAGGCACGATGCGCAGCCCCAATGGGGGAAGTCCTTCTGTGTATGTTAATAAAGCACTGTTGGCCAATAGGGAAGCAAGATAGGTGGGACTAGGAGTCGAGGAGGATTCTGGGAAACAGAGGCACTGTCAGTCACGATGTAGGACGCCAGAGGAGTAAGAGGTGCAGACCCTCTCTCCGGTGAGAGAAGACCCTATGAAAATATTCAGACTAGCAGTTATGGGTTAACAATTAAGTCAGAGCTAGCCAATAAGAAGCCAAGCAAACCACCAACAGCTTCATAATTAATATGGTGGCTTGTGTGTTATTTGGGGGCTGAAGTGTCGAGGGGACTCAGATGGGAATCCCACAGCAAATGGCGGTGGCTGGCAGGAAGACTACACGTTGCGCAGCCCCTTGCATGGCAGACCTGTACCCTGAATTAGAAGGAGTTAATTCTGTTTTGGGGGGACGGGGCATGGAGGAGGGAACACGAGAAGCGTCTTTAAGAACCTCATAAGAGATGAAGTAAAAGCACTGAAGGCGGTTTCCTTGCATCAGGAACTACACTTGATGGACAGGTTTTAAGAGCTGAAGATATTGGAACTGGGGTGAATGGCAGGGACAAAATCAGCACAAGGAGGAGGGAAACCCTCTGCCTCATCACAGACACACTAGATGATCTATCTTCAGGTTCTAACTTTTCTTCTATTCCCGGTATTAGTTCTGGTTTTTCCTGACCACTTTCGTTTTTTTAATTTTAGCACTGTCATTTTTATCTATTATTGTTTTTATGTCTTTCAAAATACTAATGTCTAAGATCAATTGTCCTACCGTGCTTCCATGTTTCCTTGACTACTAAGGGAACAGACAGAAACACCGAGTGACCTGAGTGTTTCACTGCCCGAGGGAGTGTGTTGATCTTCCAGGAACAGGAGGGCACATTGTGTTCCAGGAGCCACAGACTCTAACTCAAAAAACCTATGCTGTTTGCCACTCAGGACAGTGAGGCCAGGCCAACTCCGTGGTTCCCCTAGCTCCCAGATCTGTCACCATGCCTGCTGTAGTGGAAGGCACAGGTCTCTGATTGTTTTTCTGCATTGGCATCCCACCTCCCCCCACCTCCCTCCACCTCCCTCCATCTTTGCCAGCATGGCCAGTGCCCACAGCAGGTCTCTGTGAGCAGAGATGAGAGGTTTCGTTAGCATTGAGAATTATACAGAAGTGCTCTGCCCGGCACCCACAACACTGGGACAGAACCAAGGGCCTCACACAGAGGCAAATGCCTGTCACTGAGCTTCTTGAGTAAGCCCTAAGCAATGTCTTGTTGCTCCTTTGTAAGAAGCTAGTTATACCACACCTTCCCTTTGTCTTGGCTTCCTCATCAGTAAAGACAAGGTCTGAACAAGGTAAGATGAGTGAAAATGATGACTGATGTGTTGAGTTTTATACTTTCCTTGTCACCAGTACACATATTATTTCTGTTAGCCCCTGTGAAATAATGTTTACTCGTTCCTCGTTTTTCACAGGGAAAAATAAGTCAGTCATTTTAGAGGCCCAATATATATTTTAAAAATGGTCACATAGAGGGGATCGGGAGATAACTCAATAAAATGCTTGACGACAAGCACAAGGTCATGAGTTCTAGTCCTGACTCAAAGGAGGGGAGGGAGGAGGCTCAGTTCCGGGCACCATACTGGGGAGGATCATAACCATCTTTAACTCCAGCTCCACAGGATCCGAGGTGCTCTTCTGGCCATCTGGGGCACTTAAACTCACGTGTACATACTCAGCGCATACACATGATTAAAACTAAAATAAATATTAAAACAAAAACGGTGATTGAGAGATGGTGGTGATGTAGATGCCCAGCGTGCTGTACAGTGTTGGCTCACACTCCGCTAAGCTCCGCCCCTAACCTACAGAACATCGCACAGACTTTCTCACTTCCCCCAACTAGTATCAGCTGAACCACCTCGCTCTCACTTCCAGGTAGGACAGATCTCACAGGACTTCACAGAAACAGGAAGAGCCCACACTTCTTCCAAGAACCGACACTAGAGGTCGCCCTTCTCCAAAATTAGACGAAATTCTGAGAAAACATAGATTCAGCCTGTTCCCTTCCCTCGGAGATGGGAAGGTGCTGCTGTGGGTCAGATAAGATGGCCGAGTTGTCCAAGCTCCAAGAGCGTTCTAAGATTGCTGACGAGATTGCGATGGACGAGACACAGTGATGGGTCCATCGTGTCCGTTCTCAACCTCCCTGCCCCCTTCTCCAGCGCAGCCACCTGGAGTGCTGTGGTTTGGGGCAGGATGGGAAAGACAAGATCCTTTCCACAGCAATGAACTGGGAGCAACGAGGAAGGGCTCCTTGCAGAGCACATGCTAGTGTGTGCTTCAGCCAGAGGGCTCAGCGCAGACAGCCGGACCTGTACCCGTCTTCCACTGGCCCGGTAGTCTTCTGTAGACACAGACTCTCAGGGGTCTCACGAGAGCCCCAGGAGCTGACAGAACCTGCCTTGTCGGTCAGTCTGCCTCTTTGTGCTATTCTTGGCTAAACTTTTCTCTTGGGGCCTGCTTACGTAAACCTCGGAAACTGTAAGCCACCACTGCTATTAAATGTCTTCCTTTCTAAGAGTTGCCGTAGTCAAGGTGTCTCTTCACAGCAATAGAAACGATAAGACACTCCACAACCCCACTGAGCTAATTTAGCCATAGGCATGCTCTCTGGAACACAGGGAGCCTTAGATAGTACCAGTGGACATTTTGAAATGTAAGCACTATTAAAGACATCTGTTCGATTCTTTGCAGGCAACTCTGCAAAGTAGGACCTTCCCCAGCAGGACTATATGTCCCCAGAGCCCATGGTACTGTCATTCCTGGTTCTCAAGAACGACGGTTTTCTTCTCAGAGTGACTGCCTTCTGTCGTGTTTCGTACCTTGGGAGGCTGGGGAGGGAGATAAGCAATTCAAATAAGCTGGCATTGGGTTTTCCTTGACCTTGAAGACTGTCTTTAGTGTCCAGAATAAGACATGATATTCCTGAACTATCCATGAATTGTCCTTGCTGGAGGGTGTCTGCAAGATTCCTTTTATAATCAAAATGCCCCCAACCCCCATCTGACCACACAGATGTCACACATTATTTTCGGTCACCCCTCTCCCACCTGCTGCAGATTCAGGATCTTGGTGTCCCCACCCTATGTATCCTGCCACTCTGCTTATTTCTGGGACTGCCCAGAGCATCTTAGACATACTCTGTGTCCGCTCCCGTGGCCTTCTCTCCATTCTGCCATACCAAGGCTCTCAGCCCCAGGACGAGCCTGCGCTGGAGGAAAAGGACATTTAAAACTCCCACTGCAAACTTGGCTTTTTTTTTTTCAAGACAGAGTTTCTCTGAGTAATAGTCCTGGCTGTCCTGGAATTCACTCTGTAGACCAGGCTGGCCTCCATGTCACAGAGATCCAACTGCCTCTGCCTCCCGAGTGCTGGGATTAAAGGCGTGCACCACCAACGCCTGGCTCAGCCTTGGCTTCTGAAGGGTAGCATTGTGCAAGGCCAGGGCCAGCCCAAAAACAACTCTTCTAAATTCTGCAGGCTGCATGCCTCACTTGCCTAACCTAGTCTTGGCCTGGCTGCTCAGAGCCATTTTCTGCTTAATAAATTGTCACCTCGGCTGTATCAGACACCTCTATCAAAACTGGCTTCCATGCGGGGAGGAGTGAGGCCGTCTCTTGGGTGAGCAGTTACTACATCACCTGGAGAACAAGGCCGTGTGATTTGATGACAATGTGGAAATGAAGAGCAAGGGAAGACACCAGAGATCCACACCCAGTGGCGGGTTGACTTTTGGAAAGTTCTATTTGGGACCCATTGTTTGTGCATTAGTTGAATGCTACATCAACAGCTCATTCCTCATATGATGGCTGTGACCAGATAAAATACATTATTCAAAAGCACTCAGTAAGCAATGACTTCCCAGAGGCTGGAGAACGGCTCAGCAGTTAAGAGAATGGACTGCTGTTGCAGAAGGCCCGAGTTTGAGTTCCAGCACCCACATGGGGTGGTGGCTGCCTGGAACTCTGTCGTCACATTTGGCCTTGACAGGGACCTGCATTTATGTGCATGTACCCACGTATAGACACTCAAATATGCACATAATTTAAAAATAAAATAGGTTGTGGGGATGCACACCTCTAATCCCAGCACCAGGAGGCAGAGACAGGTGAATCTAATTACTTCAAAATCAGTCAGACCTACATAGTGAATTGTAGCCAGACAGAGCTATGTTTTGAGATCCTGTCTCAAAAACAAAACAATAACAAAAAAGGTTTCCCACCTAAGAAGGACACAGGTGGGAGGAGTTTTGAGACCAGGGGTTGGGAATAAAGGCGGGGATGACAAGGGCAAAAGTCTTTGAGAGAAACCACTGCAAATGTACTTAATTGTAATGATAAGTGTTTCTACTTTTATATTACTGAATTCTATCTATCTATCTATCTATCTATCTATCTATCTATCTATCTATCTATTATATATACATTGTTCTGCCCTGCATGTATGACTTTATGCCAGAAGGGGGCACCAGATCTCATTACAGATGGTTGTGAACCACCATGTGGTTGCTGGGAATTGAACTCAGGTCCTCTGGAAGAGCAGTTAATGCTCTTTACCACTGAGCCATCTCTCCAACCCCCCACTACTGAATTTTAAAGTCTTCAGTATACTGCCTCCCAGCAGACAATAATAATTAAGTAAGCAACCAAAGTAGATTTTTTAAAAATGGGTCTGTGCTACAAACTTAAGCAAAATTATACATGGAGAATTGAGTGTTTTTGGTGGGTTTCTATTGCTATAATAAAACACCATTACCTGAAACAAGTGTGAGTGTGTGTGGCTGGGGGGGGGGAGAGTCAGGGCAGGAGTCCAAGCAGAGCAGGAACCTGGAGGAAGGAACCGAAACAAGGGTCATGGAGGGGTGCTGCTCACTGGCTTGCTCCCGTGATTTGCTTTCTTATACCACCCAGGACCTCCTGCCCAGGGGTGCCACTGTCAT